AAAATCTGAATTTCTTCATTACCAAAAATGTATTTATACTGTATTATTTTTTATCAGATATATATAATGAAGGTTACAAAAGCCATAAAAATCAGAATTGAAAATAATCATTACAAAGAGAAAATTTTATCATTTTGAAGTATTTATAAAGATTTTAATAGATTATTAGCATTTTCTCTCCCTTAAAATTATGTCCAATTTTTTAGCTTATAAATCTCTCACTCCTTTCTAATCATTTCTAAAAAAAAATTTCTAGTTTATAAACATATGAAAAAGAATTAGTTGCTTTTAATTCTGATTAACAAATTAATATAATAGTAATGATTTAGAATTTGCTTCTTATAATTTTGTTAATTATGCAAGCACTTTATTTATGAACAAATCCAAAGCAAACGTCATTTTATTATATTGATAAAAAAAGAATGATATTACAGATTTTATTAAAATAGAAGCAATGTTATGAAAATCTAATGAGATTTGAGAAAATAAAAATGAAAGATTGAGTCCAAAATTATCTTTATAAAAAATTTAGTTTTAATTTCAAATAATTAGTTGAAAGTTCAATAATATATCTAAAAATATATACGAATGATTCCCTTTTAAAAAAATATTACTTATTAATTTTAACTATTAGAATATTTTTATTTTCTCTCTTAATAATTTTGTTTTACTATCTTAAATAATATTAAATATATGATTTCTCTTGATTATAAAAATATTTACTATGTAATTTTTCTAATTTATTCTACAAAATCTATCAAAAAATAACTTAAACCATAATTTTTCTTTCTTTTGAAATTAAATAAGAAATAAATCAAATTCTATTATTAGAAGATAGAGGATTATGTCCAAGTTATAATCTTCTACATTCAATTTAATTTATTTTCTTCCATTTATAGTATGATCAATAATCAATATAAAGTTACTTTTAAAGAAAATAATTTAAGGATGCTAAATTATGCTCGAGGCTTGTAGCTGGAAGGGGCTCTGAGATATTTGGTACTTCTATTTAGGTATCCTGAAACATCTGTGCTATGGATTGGATAAATGGAGTTCTTTGATCTAGAACTCTTCTTTTTTAGAATTTTTATTAAAATCTAATTAAATTAATACTTCTGGGGAGGGCACTAATAAAGTAGTAGGATCTAATATAAAAATTAATTTTAAAATCCCACTGATCTAATATCTTATAATATTATAAATATCAATAATTAAAATAAATAGGCCTAACTTTCGTAAAATTATAGAATCTAGCTTTTTTATATGGCTTGAAATTTAATAATATTATAATTCAATTTTATTATTTTTAATTAGGAGTAATTTGAGTAATTTATG